CCCCACACCCCCTGAAATCCCCGCAACCCCCCCGTAACCCCTGAAACTCCCCAAATCCCTGCAACCCTGACACCCCCCCAAATCTCCCCATAATCCCCCCACAGCCCCTGAAACTCCCTCAAAACCACCTAAAACTCCCCACATCCCCCCTCATACCCCCTGAAATCCCCCCCAACCAGGTTGGTCCTCCTGCCCGCAAGGGGGCGCTGCTTCTCCCGCCGCTCAGCCCCCGCCCACTTCTTGCGCAGCTCACGCCCCGCCCATTTGGCGCATGCGCAGTGCGGCTTCTCCCGAGCTCCCCAGCCCGTGCTCCCGATCCCAATCCCGGTCCCGATCCCGCTCCCCGTCATGGTGCTGGACCTCGACCTCTTTCGCGCCGACAAGGGCGGAGACCCCGCCATGGTGCGGGAGATGCAGCGCAAGCGCTTCAAGGACCCCGCGCTCGTGGACGCGCTCGTGCGTGCGGACGGAGCCTGGAGGAGGTGTACGTGGGGGCGTGGCGGGGGGGAGACCCTCGGGAGGGGCGTGGGGGAACCCCGAGGGGTTGTCACGCCCTGTCCCCTGTCCTTTGTCACCCCCAGGTCACCTCCAGCCACCCCCCAGGCCGGTGGTGGGACTCCAGGTGATGGACACCCCCCTTGCTCCTTCCAAGGGATGAAGGATTCCCCCGGGAGGGGATTGGGAGACCCCTGGGAGTGGCGTGGGGAGACCCCCCCAGGGGTTGTTACCCACTGCTCCCTGTCCCTTGTCCCCCCCAGTCACGCCCCGTCGCCCCCCAGCCTGGTGGTGGGACCAGTCCCTGGGAATGGGGGTCCCCAGGTGATGAGACCCCTCCCCCATTTCCTGTCTTCTGGGGATGGGGGACCCCCGGGATAGAGGTTGGGGCACCCCCCAGGGCTTGTCAACCCTTATCCCCTGTCGTTTGTCACCCCCCGGCCGCCCCCAGCCTTGTGGTGGGACCCCTCCCCGGGGATTTAGGACCTCCGGGATTGGGGTGGGGGATCTCCGAGGGGTTGTCACCCCCTGTCCCCTCGGTCACCCCCAGGTGATGGGACCCCCCCTCCTTGTTCCTCACAAGGAATGGGAGCGATGTGGGGTCCCTACCCCCTGATTTGGGATCCTACCCCCCGATTTGGGGTCCCATCTCCCCTCTTTGGGCTCCCACCCCGGGGCGGCTCGGGGAGGGGGCAGGAGCCGCATCCCAGTGTTTCCCGGCAGGATTTGGGGCCGTGGGATGTTCCCCCCGCCCCACCCCTGGGTGCCGAGCGCGGGGTGGGGGGTGAGATGGGATGGGCGCCCCGCAATCCCGCCGTTCCCACGCCCCCTCTCCAGGGGGTGGAAGCGGCGCCGGGGGCTCCCCTTTCCTCCCGATCCCTCCCTGTCCTTGTGGGATCGGGCCCTGCTTTAACCCGGAGCGTTTCATCCCACGGTATCCCCCCGTTCCCAGCGACCCCCCCGCGGGCTCGGGACCCCCGGCACGGGGTGACAGGGCTGGCAGAGGGTGGCAGGGGGGACAGGAGGTGGCAGGGGGGACAGGAGGTGACAGGAGGTGGCGCAGGGTGGCGGCCGCGTGGCTGATGCAATCCCGCGGCGCCGCGGGACCCCCGCGACGGGGGGGCTGGGGGTGGCAGGGCTGGCAGGGGGTGACAGGGCTGGCAGGGGGTGACAGGGCTGGCAGGGGGTGACAGGAGGTAGGTGGCAGAGGGTGGCGCAGAGTGGCGGCCGCGTGGCTGATGCAATCCCGCCTTGCCCATCCCATCCCATTCCCTATTCCCTGGCTTGGGGTTGCCCCCCCGGGACCGATTCCTCCGTGTGATTTGGGGTGTCACCTTCCCAGGGTGACCCTGATTTGAGGTGTCACTCCAGTTTGGGGTGACCCTGTTTTGGGATGTCACCCTCTTGGGGTGACCCTGATTTGGGGTGTCACCCTGATTTGGGGTGTCACCGTTTTTTGGGGTGACCCTTATTTGGGGTGTCACTCCAATTTAGGGTGACTTTGTTTGGGGATGTCACCCTCTTGGGGTTACCCTGATTTGGGGTGTCACCCTGATTTGGGGTGGCCCCCATTTGGGAGTCCCATCCTGGTATGAGGGGCCACAGCCTGGCATGGAGGTCCCAGTGGAGAGGGGGGTTCCCATCTCGGGGGGGGGGGGGTCCAGCCCAGTGTGGGAGTCCCCAGTGTGTGTGGGGTGTCCCAGCTTGACATGGGGGTCCCAGTGCAACATGGGGGTCCTATCCTGGTGTGGGGGGTCCCAGCCCAGTGTAAGGGGGACTGTCCTGCAGGGGGGTCCCAGCGTGATGCTGGGGGTCCCAGCCTGGCATGGGGGTCTCAGCCCAGCATAGGAGATCCCAACATGGGGGTCTCAGCCTGGAGTGGGGGTGTTCCATCCCAATGGGAGGTCCCATCCTGGCATGGGGGTCCCAGCCCAGTGTGGGGGTGCCAGCCTGGAGTGGAGGTGTCCTGTCCCACCACAGGGAGGTCCCATCCTGCCCTGGGGGTCCCGGGGGTCACTCCAGATGTTTTCCATCCCCACCCCACCCAAACCCTGGGGCATTCCCAGAGCTGCAACTCCCCTCCTGCTCCCAGGGGGGATCCCCATGGCCCCTGGGGACCCCAGCTCAGTCCCACCCCCTCTGAGAGCCCCCCCTCCTCTCCAGGAGACCCCAGCCCAGTCCCACCCCCTCTGAGAGCCCCCCCTCCTCTCCAGGAGACCCCAGCCCAGTCCCACCCCCTCTGAGAGCCCCCCCCTCCTCTCCAGGAGACCCCAGCCCAGTCCCACCACCTCTGAGAGCCCCCC